AAGGAATAATGTATTATCCTATCTGCCTTCTGTTTTATACTTTCTCTGCCCTGTCCAGACAGTAGGAACATCATTCTATATGTAACTCTTTGATTGGTGTGTTATCATGCTCTTGTTTAAATTCTGGTCAGGTAAATAAATGGATTGCCCCACTAGCCTGAGCCCTACATCAGAGTAGGTATTTTTGAGATGTACATATGTTTCTTGTCATCTTAATCGTTTCTAGTAGATGCACAAAGTTCTTTGTTCAAGACCTCTGATGCCCTTTCCTTCTGGAACAGTCCCAATTCACTCTCCGAAGCTGGAGCAGGGCTGTCTTATTCTGCCTGCTGATCCCAAAGTCCTGTGCTGGCTAATCCCCAAGTGAAAGTCAATTGTTTCATGTATCTGAAGTTGGTCTCGCTTGAACTCCAGGGTTCATCCCCCAAATCTCACCAAATCTGGGTCTTGCTTGCCTGTAGAAAACATTTATATGAACCAGAAGAGTTTTCAGAGCAGAGTTGGATCGCCTGGAGCAGCTCATCTCTCAGTTGTTCAGTGCTTCATGTAAATAATAGAAAAGCAACTCACTTTTGGATATTTTGGATTTTATCTATTTTGAGTGTTTTAACAACTTTCTCTTCTGTGTTCTCTTGTTTATATTGTCCTGACTATTCTCTATTTATTCAATTCTGGTTTTGTTATTTCCTTTTAATCATGTTTACTTACACAGATTTTGAGGGGTTTGCCCTCTTACTCTCATATTGTATGCCTGTATAGAAAACAGATGTCACATTTTTCTCTAAACCCGCATTGTGATTGTCATTTTAGATCTACAGAGCTAATAAAATTGTGCTACATATTGCTATTCATTCCCTAAGCAACTTCAAATCACCTCAGCTTTAAATGTAAGAACATAAGTAGTTCAGTTGCTGCTTTATTTTGCCAGCTGTATCAACTTGTACTTGCTAAGACATACAAATAGCTGGGGAATTTTGTCTGCTTTTTTTCAAATAGGCATATTTTGAGAGTTCAGTGTTATCACTCATCTTTGGGGGTCTGAGCACCTGTTTTCACATACAGAATTGTAGACCTTGGGAAAAGTGAAGGCAAAGAAAAATGAGTTAGTGGGAAAGGGGGAAAATACTTACTTAATACCTTTAACTTACAGCAATTCTGTAGCTCTTAAATGTTCTTCAGCCTTGCTGTTTTAGATGTCATCATAAATGCCAACTGTGCCTTAAGATTTTCATTTCCTAAACACATTATGTTGAGTTAAGTTTCTTTTTTTTTTTCCGTGCTGTTATGTAGTGTGTAGCTGGTTTGGCCTGAATGTCACTGCAGCAGCAAGATGTGTAAATGTGCCCTGTCAGATGGCAGGTGTGCAGGCCAAGTGCAAGTCCTCCTCTGGTGTTTCCTCACTTGGGCCTTTCTGATCTCATTTTTGTGAAGATCATCTCACCGGAGATTAGTATAAGGGAATTTAAAAAAAAACTTTTAAAACGCTCTTTATTTTTACTGTTCCGCTTGTTTCCATGGAAACGGGATCTATAAGATTGTCAGGAGTGAACAGCTGAGAGTATTCGACATGTGTAGATTTCATTAGGTGACTCCCAGCTGACATCTGGGATGACCTAAATAAGTAGTAAACCATTTAGAGGGGTAGAAGAAAAGGACCAATTTAGAGAAAACACTGTATGCATTCTTTTTGTCCTCATTGGATGTGATAAGTAAGAAAATGCTTATTTAACTGGTTTTGGGTACATGAGTTGTATGGACATACTTGCAGCTTTCTTCAGACTTTTTCAGCATAGTAGCAATTCTGTACAACAAACACAGTCCATCCCTTTGATAGGATGGACTTTTTAACAGTGACCTGAGCTGTCTCAAGTGGATGTTTGTGGGCAATGAGGGATACATATGTCAGGAAATTGCAGTTCTACAGTTCAGGTTCACTGAATTTTCAAATGTCAGCCTATGTTTGTGTGTAAGAAGTAGTTGACAACTCCATCTCTGAAATTACCTCGCTTGCTGAAGCCGAGACTAAACCAGATCTCTCTAGCACGAACCTTATATATTTGTTCCTCAGTTTAGAATGGAAACCTTCCTTTGGTTGCCAGATAAGCATAAGACTTATCACCACTGAGGATTTGCCTTAACACTTGTGTCTTCTTAGCAGGTAGTAAAACGCAGGATGGCTGAAGTCAACAGGTTTTGTTCCCCAGTTTGCTATCTCGTGTTATTTTCAGGCACAACTTCTTTGTTCAGTGCTCTGCATGGAAAGCCAGTGCTTGTCCTTGTGTTTTGCTCAACAAGTGCTTTGTGTAGATTAGGCTCCCAGGGGTGCCACTGTGTGCCCTATATTCAAATGTGTTCATGTTAAGTCTGCCAAAACCTTCTCTTGTTCAGGGGTGAGCTCAGATACACTGAGATGCAGATGCAGAACCCTTAATTTTTAGAGAATTATCATTAAATGATAGGTGTAAAGGTGAGGTAACTTTCCTGCTTAGGATACAAATTTTGCTGCATTTGTAAGAGCAGAGGGTTTCTTCCATAAACTGGTGAGTGAGGTCATGGGCTTAAGTAACCAATGTAACCCTTTTTTCTTCAAATGAGGTAAAATATCAATAAAGAATTTTGAGGTGTGCAGGATTCTAAAACTGCCATTCCAGGTTACCAGACTGCTGCTGGGCTCGGTGCCTCAATAACTGTTATCTGAGATTAAGAGCTCAATATTAATCCATCAATCAGTGTGACAGCTTGTGGGAGAGGTGTCTCTCACTGCATGTGAAGTTTACCTCCATATCAGCTCATTAGGAAGTAGATATTTTCAACTGCTTGATATATCTACCCCTGTTAATTGGAACAGCTTTCAGTACTGATGTGTACTAAAAGGCTCTTGCTGATTTTTAAGTCTCCAGTGTTTTGGTTTAAAATAGAATAGAAAAAAAATTGGAATCAATGAAAATAAACTTCAGTATTATATAGCTCACACAAATTTAAAGTTATGTGTTTGCTCTTAATAGTGTTCTCTGTACAGCTGTTGAATATTAGTGAAGTTTAAAAATGAGAGGTTGTAAAGTAGTTTTTAGCAGTCTGGAAACAGCTGAGACTTTAACTAAAATCCCAGTGTGGTTTGTAGCTTAGTCTTATATTTTATACTTGGATGTGATGAGTAATCTTGGAATCTTCTCTTCACTAATCTTCAAATGTTATGTTCTTCCATTTTAGTGATTTGCTCCTCCTTCATGCTACATGTCAAATACAGCCTCTTAGCCATGCTATTGTTTAGTCCATTGTTCAACTAGAATTTTGAAGCCTTTCCTCCAAAGGATGCTTTTAACATATCTTTTCCAGAAGTCCTGGAACTCCCAGTTTAAGAATTAGCTTTATGCTGCTGCTGCCTTCATCAACATTAGCAGGCGTTTTCCTCATTTGAAAGCACTGTAATCAAAAGGTTTTGAAAGTAAAGCAGCACATTGGGATGGGTGAAGTTTGAAGGAGGTTTGAATGGTCAGCTTGTCTAAGCCAGACAACCCCTGCCAGCTTTTGTGAGTGTCAAGTCAGGGATTTCATGCAGGGAGACTGTCAGAGACTACCACAGAGTGAGTTCTGTCAGACTTCTCAGGCACTGAAAATGACATTTTGGCATGTTGGAAGTCACCTTGTTTCCACTCAGTATCTGGGACTGGTACCTAAGAGCACACTCTGTATTTGTAAATATACCTTACCCAGAATGGCCCAGTGCAATGGCTAGCTTGAGATAGTCAATGCTAACCTTTTTCCAAATATTTTATATGTATGATGTTTAAACTGCTTGTTCTATTAAAAAATTTTGCAGATTTTAAACAGTTTTCTTGCCCAAAGGTGAATTCCTCTAAAAAGGGAGATCTCAGCAGGCTGTCTGGGAGCACAGTGGAAAGGCACAGGCACAAAGCATGAGAGATCTGCTTTGAATGAACTAAAGCCCTGTCCGTGTTTGATCAATCCATTTTGTTTTATTCTTTGAAACCACTTATTGAAGTGCTGAGCCTTTACTTTCTTACAGAACTAATAGGTTTATACTATTAACTGCACAGTTAACAGCTAACTTTAGGGCTTTAATTTCTAAGTTCAAATTGAGATATTGATTCAGAGTGAATATATAAATATTTCTGAAGAGAATCGCCCGGTAAGAGGAGGATATTTTGGATATTGTTTTCTTTCTTAATAATTTTAAGAAGCAGTAGCATGTTGAGGGTTTTATTTTAAGCTGCCCTATGCCCACTTAAAAAGCTCTTCTGTATTTTAAAAATAACATTGTTTTTTAAACAATGTTTTAATGTTTGTTTATTTAACAATTCTGTTTGGTGTGGTGGAGAGTTTGGTAGGTTTTTGGTTCTTTTTTCTTTTTGAGACCTCTCTGGGAGTATACAGCATATCTTCAATTAAATGTGACTTTAATGTTGGTTGGTTTTGGTTCTTGTTTTGGTTTTCTTTCCTGCTGCTTCTACCCCAGTGGATCAGTACATCAAAAAGCCAAGCTAAAACTTCTGATGAGGAACAACGTTTTTGTATACAGAACTATAAATGGTTCTGTGTTTTGAATTTAAAAAATCCCTCTCTAGTGCTACATTGACTGCTCAGTAGAAAGTTGATTCAGTTATATTGAAGCTCTTTTTGGGATGTTGGTAATCTTTTGGAGTAGCAGATTATATATAAAGTGTTTGGTGAGCCTTTGATAGAAAGTATATGGAGAGCCATATATCTATAAAATATAAACATGGCCTGTATTTCCTCCTTTGCTAGGCCCCAGTAATTTTCTATTAAATCTTTTTATTAATAGAAATTTAATGTGGAGTTTCTGAAATCAAACTTGTGTGATGTTCTGTGGTTATCTTCTTTTAACTACTCTCTTTCCACTAAACTTGAAGTAATTATTCATAATTAAGCCATAGGTGCATATACAGGGCACATGGGTGTGCATGCATATGCATAATACATATTTTTCCTGGCTTTCAGACCCTTCTGTTTCTTTTCAGTGGGATGCCATCACTGAAATGGATGAACACAACCGTCCCATTCACACCTACCAGGTGTGCAATGTGATGGAACCCAACCAGAACAACTGGCTGCAAACCAACTGGGTGTCCCGCGACGCCGCGCAGAAAATCTACGTGGAGATGAAGTTCACCCTGAGGGACTGCAACAGCATTCCCTGGGTGCTGGGGACCTGCAAGGAAACCTTCAATCTCTACTACATGGAGTCAGATGAGCCCCATGGAGTAAAATTCAAGCCAAACCAGTACACTAAAATCGATACCATAGCTGCCGATGAGAGCTTTACCCAGATGGACTTGGGCGACCGAATCCTCAAGCTCAACACGGAAGTTCGCGAAGTGGGGCCGATCAGCAAGAAGGGATTTTATCTCGCTTTTCAGGACATTGGAGCGTGCATTGCCTTGGTGTCAGTCCGTGTCTATTACAAGAAGTGCCCTTTCACAGTCCGGAATTTGGCCATGTTTCCTGACACCATCCCAAGGGTGGATTCTTCCTCCTTGGTGGAGGTCCGGGGTTCCTGCGTGAAGAGCGCCGAGGAACGGGACACCCCAAAATTGTATTGTGGGGCAGATGGGGATTGGCTGGTGCCTCTGGGACGATGCATCTGCACTGTGGGATATGAAGAGCTGGATGGTTCCTGCCATGGTAAGCAAACACTGTTTGACTTTTCTTGTTTTTTTAATTTTTAGAAGTCGTATACTGTCATATTCTCTTCCACTGTCTGTAATAGTTTCAAAATGACTTGAGATTGAGGTGCTTTTCTGTAGTAATGGTTGTGAACAATGATATCACAGTGGCTGCTGAGGCTGTCTGCTGTGGTTCAACTTTGGCTTTGTAGCAAAAAGGGGGAGAGAGAGTCCATATTCATCCTTTACCAAAATGACTCTGCTATTTTGCTCAAGAATTTCTCAGACTAGATGGTGTTAGGCAAGCTGCACGGCAACCTTGGATAATAGAGAGCATTAAAAGCTCTATGCACTGTAATCAGAAAATGAAATTCACTTTGTTGTCTGATCTTGCTGGCATTAATTATCAAAATACACTGGTTGCAAAGATACAGTGTTGCCAATGCCATTATTGGAAGCCAGCCTAAAATTGTACATGAGGTCAAAAGGTTTCTCTCTTAATGAGATAAGGATTTTTTTCTCTGAAACTTTAATGCTGAATGAATTCCTGTCCATTATGCAAGTGAGTCATAAGCTAGATCTGTATGTAAGCAATACAGCCAGCAGTCAAAGTCTACAGAAATGTTTTCTCCAGTACATTGACTCTACTGGTTTATAAAACTGGCCATCTGATCTGCTGAGCAGGACCTTCCAAGTGAAATGGAGTACCCAAAGCCATGAGTTTTTGCCTATTCTTATCTATTTGCCCCAAGAATTACAACTTACTAGTTTAGAAAATTCTAATCTAATAGAGCTTCCACATGTTTTGAAATAATATTTATAGTTGGATGTTGTCCATTTAATCTTCTACAGTGAATCTAAATATTTGTACTATTTTTCTTCCTGACAGTTTTTCAGAGTACATTTGTCTTGCTTGTGAATATCATGCTCAAGGCAAGCCCAACTGCATTTCATATGAAATGCTTTCATAACTAAAAGAGCACAATTTAATTTCTGTAGTTCCCACTCTGCAGTGTATAAACCATGAGTGGAAGGGTTCCTGTTCAGGATGGCCACGTTTGTGCCAGAGCTGGTGGTGGAAATGCATATTTGGACAGCTGGGAATGCCTTTGTACAATGGGATGTTTTCAGTGTGGCTGTTGAGTGGTGTGAACTGAACCATGATATGTGTGTTGATAGACATCTTTCAGACAGCCTTTTTGTTCTGTTTGAGACTTTGCTTCTTGGCAAATTCAGAGTTTAAAAGAGTTGTTGCTTGTCATTAAGTCCTGAGCAAACTCTTTAATACCCATTAAATTTAAAAAATACCTGAACATTTCTAAGTCTCTGAGGGGAAATTTTTTAAAATGTACATTGAGCTTCTTTTCGGAGAAGCAGAGAGTGGGGGACACCTAGGTGGGAGAAGAGCAGAAGCTACTCTATCTTAGCCTGATAAGACCTGATCTATATTTATAAAATATTCATATTTTCCCCAAAACCCCAACCCAAAGCCCTTTTGCTTCTCCCTTTGCAAATCTGAGTCTTGAAAGTGTTTTGCACAGTTGTCAGTGCTTTGTGCAGGCATAATCTGTGACATACTCAGGAGAGAACAGTTCCTTTCTTCTGCATGAAAAACAGTCAGAATAACAATTTTGCATTTTGAAGTCTGTTCTGAAAAATAATTGGGTGGTGGGCAATACTTGCTGATACCTGAGTATATTTTTCCTATTTACACATGGTGTCAAATTTTTTATACCCCAGCCTGTGGCTCAGTGGGGAATAAGCACTCCATGGCAAATATGGCTTATTGTCACAGAATTTAAAGAATAAATTTATGTTTTGATATTTGTGGAGATACAGACTCCCTATTTACAAAATACTAAATGGCATAAGGAAGTATATTCTGCCTTTGTCATTGCTCATCATTTTGCAAAGCAGCAAGAGTGGGAATAAAACCAGTCTTTGATCAGTTTTACTGCTGATGTTTAAAATCATAGGTTATTTTCAGATGCCTAAATCTCATTTACCTGCGTTTCTAACTGGAAACATTTAGATTATTTCAATATCTGTCAGATTTATGCATCTCTCTCCTTATCTGTGGATTTCTAAGTGTATTCCCTAACCATTGCATTTTCTTTTAAAAGCATCATTTCAGAGCCAAAGTGTCTGAGAAGAATTCCCAGCTGGATTGAAAATATCCATACCTGTTAAATGTATACCCAAATGTCTAGTTAGTTCAGAGGCATATTAATAGGAATTTTTTCACTATTTGGGACTGTCTTCCTTTCAGAAGTCGGGAGGGGGGGGAAGTGGCATTGACTGCAGGAGATTCCCAGGTATTTGTGTGTTCTCTACATTTTTATTGAGATAATCTGGAATATACCAACCTTCTCTAAATTTATTATGTAAACAATCTCTCAGTCTTTGATTTGAATCTACTTTTCAAGACTTCTCCCTCAAAATCCTGGAATAGCAGCATCATCCACATGTTCTTCTGTATCTTCAGGCATAATGAATAAATTGGAAGCAGTAATTTGGCAATGCTGATCAGAAATGGCTCTGATATGAACTGCTGCTTTTGCTAATTCATTGACACCAGCCCCATTACCAAGTTGCAGTTTAGAAGGAGGAGATGCTGCACAGGATTCTGGTAAACAACAATTAAAAGTGGCATGTTCAATACTCTCTGTTCTCTGAATGTCAGCCCAAGATATGAGTTGTGCTAAATTTAGCAAATGTATAATATATACAGGTCATATCAGGACTTTGGTGAAAGTTTTTTACATAGGAGCAAACAATCATGACAGAGGAGCCTTTTATAAACTTAACCATAATGGTTCAGTTCTGTTTGGGCATGATACAGAAATAATTGGATGACTGTTAACTGAAGTTTGACTTTTTAATGATTTACCAAAACTTATCTGAATTACTCAAGGTTAGGAATTAATTGCAAAGAAAAATTCAATTATATATAGCAAATACTAATTATTATAGTAATTTCACATTTTACTTTAGTCCTAACCAATCAAACACACTGCAGAAGTGTAGTTCACCAGCCATAAAAATTTGATTCTTCTTGAGGAATATTCTTAGGAAGCCACAACTTCCTAAGTGAGGTATATTTGGTGCAGCTGAAGCAATGCTAAGTGTTAAAAATGTAAAACAACAGGCACTGACAGACTCACCTGGTTTATTTTAATTGAGACAAATGGAATAAGAAGTGAAAATGTAAAATTCAAATCTTCTGACCTTGAGTTGACTGAACAACACTTCCTAGGGATACTAATGCCTGAACACATGGAGTTTTTAATTGAACAAACACTTCTTTCCATTATTCATCACTTGAAGTTGTGGTAATGTTTCAGTGTTAGGATTTCTGCTTTGGCAGCTGATCTTTCTTCTTCAGCCCTTCCATCTGATCCAATAGGAAACTCCTCTCATTTTTCAACTATTCACTATTCCCCTCCTCATATATGTCCCAGTAGTGTGGCTTTGTTAGTGGGAGACCAAGCAGTTCATGTTACAGTCATGCTTAATTACCTGTGTGCTAGACTCAAAACAGGAAAAGAGGGGAATAAAGTGCTTTGGAGCTGCAAGTTTCAGTTACATTGTGTAAGGTTCCTTTTGGGTTTTCTTCCACGTGTTTATTTGCTCATGAGATCGACTCTTTACCAAGCACTGAAGGAAGCATCTTTAAAGGAGAAGCATAGAAAGGTTTTTGATTACAAAAAAGGGACAAAAGGAGATTAAATACAAAATCTTCTATGGCTACAAATTATCTTTTTGAGGGAAAACCTTTCCACCAGAGTCCTTCCCGCAGCAGAGCTGGCACTGTTCACTTGTGCTGGAGTAGATCCCTAAGATACAAGGGGTAAAATTTCGAATTTCTGTTTCCTGTCAGCCAGAAACAAAAGTTTGTCAAAGATGCTGAATGAGTGAAAATCTAAGAGGATCCACTGACAATTTTGTCTCTGCAGAATAGAGCAATCACAATCCTCTCTGCTTTGTTCTCTCATTGAGAGAATTTAAATAGTTGCTTTTGATTAGTTGTTTTTTTTAATAGTATTTGACTTATTGGTCAATTTTTTTTGGTAAACAGCCATATGTTTAATGAAATTTATAACATATTCTTAACTTTGTGACTGCTCTGAAAGGACTTGACACGTTTTTCCTGTGTTTAGGCAATGATGGTTTATTTTAAATTTATGTGTGTCTGAAGAGCTTTAGATTTCACCGTTTCAGTGATAGCACTTGAAACCTTTGTGCTTATTTGTGATACATATTTTTCACTGGAAAACGTCCTCTTTAGCCTATGTAAGGCTGCACATCTGTGAACACTCAATACAAATTTTAACTTTCAATTCTAAATACAGATAAAGTTGAGTTTTGATTTGTCAATTCCAGATTCAGTTCTTAGGTGGAACTGCTAAAAAATTGTTTTTTGTAGAATCAAAGAACAAGGATGGGGAAAAAAATAGAAGTTGGGGATAATAGCAAATCTATAGGTAAGAATATAGAAAAGTAATTGATATTGATCTGTTCAAAGTTTCTGAATATATTTAACCACTTCCAGCTGCTAGCATATGGGAAAACTGAACTCAAGGCCTGTATACATTAGGAAAAAAGAGTATTTGCAGTAGAAAAAAATGTAAATTACTCACTGTTCTGAGGGGACATTGCTGATGCTACTGGTGGCACTTTTCTGTTCTTATATCCTGGTTTTAATTTCTAAATGGCAGGTCATGTGCCAAGCTATTTCAGGCTGTATCTCTTTCATTTTTACTTTTTTCCACTTGTACAACAAAAAACATTTTGTCTTTAAGGCTTGCAGTTAGTATGAATTAAAAATAGCACTGTTGCCTGGCTGAAATAGGAAGTAAATGAGGGATGGTGAACTGTGGCATGGATGGGATGTTACTGTCACAAGGATGAATTTTTAGTAAGTTGTACCAATCTGGAGAGATCTGATGTGGCTTTTTTCAGTAATTTCACCTTTTTTTTTTCAATGCTTTTGGGTTGTTTTGATGACTGTTTCTGGTT